GCACGATCATTGGGAGTGACTCAACAAGTCATTTCAAAACGCTTCAAAGCCATGGGAATGATTCAGAAGCAAGGAAATTGGGTGCCGTACGAATTGAAGCTGAGAGATATTGAACGGCGTTTGTTTGCTTGTGAACAGCTACTTGAAAGGCAAAGACGGAAGGGATTTCTGCATCGCATTGTAACTGGGGACGAAAAATGGGTTCATTACGATAATCCTAAGCGCAGAAAATTATTGGGAGTTCCCGGCCATGCTTCCACGTCGACGGTCAAATCGAATATTCACAGCTCCAAGGTCATGCTCTGTATTTGGTGGAACCAGCTCAGCGTAGTGTATTATGAGCTGTTAAAACCGACTGAAACAATCACAGGCGATCGGTATCGAACGCAATTGATACGTTTGAGCCAAGCATTAAAAGACAAACGGCCGCAATACAACGAGAGACACAATAAAGTGATTTTGCAGCATGACAATGCTCGACCCCATGTTGCAACAGTGGTCAAGACATACTTGGAAACGTTGAAATGGGAAGTCCTACCCCACCCGCCGTATTCTCCAGACGTTGCTCCCTCTGACTATCATTTGTTTCGATCAATGGCACATGACCTGGCTGACCAGCACTTCCGGTCTTATGAAGAAATAAAAAATTGGATCGATTCGTGGATCGCCTCAAAAGATGACCAGTTTTTTCGACGCGGGATTCGTACGCTGCCCGAAAGATGGGAGAAACTATTGGCCAGCGATGGACAATACTTTGAATCATAAATGTATCACCAGTTTTTTACAATAAAGCCTCGAATTTCGGAAAAAAACGACGGAAGCAAAGTTGTACACTTAATATTACAAACATTATAGTAAAATTTATTATAAAAATGATATTCCTAACTATAATCTTTTTACTATGCCATTATAGTTCCAAATATCATACATTTTTCTCTCAGTGCGGTCGCTCTTTCTATGTGTTTTTCTGGAAGGTACGACATATCTTGGGCCAGCCTGGACTAGTAGCTGAGGAGGATATCTCGAACGCTATTCCCTTGATGTCCATTTCCTAGTGCTAGGTCCGCAGACTGTCAAATTGGGGCTGGGACACGTCGTGTGACTGCCTTGTGCGCTTTCCCTTGGCAGTCTCCGACTACCCGCTCGTGTCTTGGGTATGCGCTTTCCCACCCAGGCCTAGATTCGATTTTGTAAATGACCAAACGCGTACTCTATCTTCCGCGGGCGGATACCTGATCTGAGAACTCTCAACGCGATCAGTTTTGATGGATTCTTTTGTTTCCGCATTGGTTGAATACGTGATCCGTATTGAATTGTTTTCTCTTTCGGGGCCTTCGGACTCCCTTTGCGAGCGTCGCTTTCTCCACTGCTCCTTTTCATTGCTATACGATTCTCTTGGATAAATATATAGAAAACTGGTGCCACTTCCGATGCTATCGGTTTGGCCTTGACATATGTTATAAAGGTCACCTTTCTGAGTGATCTTCTGAAGATTTTAGCCGTCGCTCGTTGTTCGTTAAGTTATTAACAAAAAAGTTTGCATCAAATGAATGTAATTTTTGAACAATGCCCGGACGGTGTGTGCGTGCGTTCCTATTATATTTGAAGTTTTATAAATAGATAATAATAAAAATAAAAAAGGTGCCTGTCCCTAGCTGTGTAACTGGGGGCTACGCTCCCCAGAACCCCGCACCGCGGCGGGCGAAGGCCAAGTCTTTTGTGAGAAATTCTCACTATTCAGTTTAAGTACCACCACGCCGTGGTGCGGGGGATCTAGAGGTCCTAGCCCCCCAGTTATCCCGAGCAAAAATGTATCTAGTAGAGCAGATTTCAAGACTAGTAGCTAGATAGTAATGACTAGATAAGTTTTCTAGCTAGTCACTAACTCGTGACTGGCTAAATATTCCTATTCAGTCTTTTGAACGTCAGGACTATCTAATAACTATACCAATTACATAGATAGTGGCTAGATGAAAAAGATTACACAGTAACGAGATAGAAAATCATCGGTAAATCCTGAATAGAACTTGGACATCAGAACTGTCTAGTAACTGTACCATTGATAGTTACAAGTTATTTTCTTGTATCTAGCTACTAGATAATTTTTCTGGTACAGCCACTAAGAGAAGTGAGCGTTATATTCCTAGCTAGTAGCAATATAAGATCCAACTTTTCTGTATCATTACTAAACAATCACTAGATTCAATTTTTGCTCAGGTACACGGCTAGGGACAGACACCGTTTACACACTACACTTAATAAACTCTGTGTTGATATTAATGTATTTTTTTTTGTGAATAACTTTTTAACAAACAATCAGCGCCAGTTAAAATTTTGAATGTTAACTACTTTTGAATGTTACTTAGGACAGTGGCAGACACCTTCCTAGCTTACAAATTCGATGTTTTCGTATATACGGTGTCCAAAAATTACATTCATTTTATGCAACTTCTTTTGCTAATAACTTTTTAACAAACAAGTGACGGCTAAAACCCTCAGAAGGTCACTCAGGAGGGTAACCTCTATAACATTTGTTAAAGTCAAGCCCATCGGAGGTGACACCAATTTTCTATATATTTACCCTAAATTAACCTATTTACGAGTTGTCCTACAATAGATTGCATCGTTGGTTCATGGATTCACGGACCGTATCAAATATTCCCGAAACAGCTTATGCGAAAGGGCCAAAATCTGTGGTGTGTACGAGACTCCTGCATCTGGAGAGGAAGATCCGGCAATGGCGATGGCCGCTTTCGCACAAGCTGCCCCGAGAATATTCCACAGAGTCCGTGTGAACCGACGATGCAATCTCTGCATGCAAGTAAACGGTC